TTTTTCTAATTTCGTATTCCAATAAATGTAATTTTAGGACAATAACACACCGAGGTGCGTGTGTACTGCTTCGTTTCGAGGATGCCAATCCGATTTTATTTTTTTTTTTTCGAATAGGGCAGTGTAAAAGAGTTTTGTTTAAAAATTGTTAATCGTTATTTTCTTATTTATATGTATATAGGGACACATGATGTGCTATGTTCGGAGCAGTGCTAGTTCACATTATCACCAAGCCATACTTACTTTTGTATTTGTATACATAGACAAAAATGCATACTTGCAATATACTTTAGTCATAGACAATGAATTTTTTAAAGAATAACGAATTTCGCTAGAAATGTTACACTTTTGTAAAAATGGTTTCGATAGACAGAGAAAGAGAGCGATTTATTTCGAACGTCATTCAGTTGCCTATGCCTAGAGACACTCAATATTAAGAAATATACTTATTTGAACTAACGTTTCGGTTTACATTTAGCATTTCGTTTTTTTTTTTGTTTTCTTCCCTACCACTATTAATATAAATACATATATCATTAGTTACATATATACGTATGGTTTATAGTTTATTCAGTCGACATTTACAGAGAAAGCACTCAATGTCTCACTCTTCTTGCCAATGGCCTTTGCTTGATATTGACCCACGTCATCCATTGAGCACTGAACTATAACAAAGGTGTAACGATTTCCATCTTTGGTGAAGGTATACTTTGTGGTGCTGTCATTTATTGGCTTGCCATCCTTTAACCATGTAAGTTGTAGTGGCTCTTCTTGTGTCTCACAGACAAATCGGCAGCTTTCTCCTTCTTGAACGGTTACAGAACTTGGGAATTTTGTAAATATGGGTTGCTTTGGTTCTTCCCCAGGTACGAGCACGTTTATGGTACAAGTACTGAACGATTCACCAACGTCGTTGAATGCCTCGCAGGTATAAGTGCCGCCATCTTCTGGAAAAATCTCAGCAATTTGTAGCTTATAGATATTAGCCTCGTTGGTGTATTGGAAGTCTTTGCTCGGTTTAATTTCCTTGTTGTTGTGTAGCCAAACTACGTCAAAGTGCTCGGCGCCGATGATGCGACAGGCAAGAGTTACCATTTCGCCGTCTTTTACAAAGCGTGATTCCAAATGGCTAACAATTTTCGGTGGTTTCGAGCTACTCGTCTGTCGCTTACTTGCATTTTTATCAAGTGCTATAGGAAATATAACAAAATAAGAATGTACATTTATTCAATGTCCGTAAAAGTTTAATTTATAACGAAAACTGTGTAAATAATTGGTATAATTTTTTTAAATAGATAGATTAATACAAATTCGAATAGCGGTTGATAATAAGTGCTGTGAGACTTGTGTAAGGTCAGCTCAAGCCGGCATATTTTGCGCAATTAATTTTTCTTTCAGTGCGGAGATAAAAATATTGCCAAATACTCACGCTTGACCGTTAGTTTGCATTTGGTTTCCACGACGCTTATGGAATTAGTAGCTGTGCAGGTAAATATACCTTCATCCTCAGGGAATACTTCGTGAATAGTAAGTGTTGCAACGCCATTTTTGTATTTCAAATCCATAATATCTGAGGATGAAATGAGCTTGCCATTCTTGGACCATGTTATCTGTGGTTCCGGATCTCCCTTGACATTGCAGGTCAAGATCAGCTTATCACCATCGTTTATTGTTAAATCTTGCAGTGGCTTCGTAAACTCAGGCTTGCACATTAGCGCATCGTCCGGAGGCACTAAGGGATTTTTGTTTTTAATTTTAGTAGAAAATACAAAGAATAGCTCGCAAACAGTGTTGGCATGCGTAAAGATTTATAGCGCAGGTGAAAACTTTTTGGACCGTTATTGGTAACAAACTTTCAAAAGATGTTGAAAATTTTAAAGCAACTATCAACTTATCAATGTCTTTCATATTTTTAAGAATAAAAGGATTTAGCTTAGCATGGCAACACTGTTTATGAACCGTGTAAAATAAGCTTACATATTAATTCTTTAGTAGCACTTCGAGATCTCGAAGGACTTCCTGGCGTGTGCAAACTACTGTTGCTGCTGTTATACTTCTTTTTATTGCTACTATTACTGATACTGGTGGTTGTGTTGGAGCTTGAGTTGTGAATGTTACTCTGAAATTCAAATAATTTGAAATTCACATATTGAAATGAAAGCAAGTTAGAAAAAGAACTGAAAAGCTGAGATGCAAAGTGAAGTAGAAGAATTTTAAAGATTACAGCTAAAAGTTAAGGCCTCGTGATATTGGGCCCCTTTCTGTTGTGATAAGTAGTAAATGATGGTTGAAAGTACCATAAATATGAAGTAAATCTGCAGAAACTAAGACGGAAGCCCGACATGGTGGTCGCTCAAATGATTATGCTCTCAGTCCTAAGATTGCCGGACCGATGTTTAAACCCCGCCATTCCACCCCAAACCTATAATCTATTTTATCCATATTACCTTTCCTCCCTAATGCACGATACAAGGCGCATTGTGCTTATTGAATAGTTTGCATCCAGGGATACCAGTATATCACCGTACGGCGCTGGTTCACAACAGGCGCAGTTATTATGAGTATAAGGACAAACTGCTGAGAAGCAAACAACATAACAAGCAAGTAAAATTGAACTTTTAGGCTTAGAATCCAGCTCTCAAGAAAAATCATAAGAAATATTTTTCTTTATTTCTGCTGCTTTTAAAACACTTGCCTTTGCTGTAAATTTAATTGAAGAAATAAATATACGAGCATTTTTTTCTTGAGAGCTGCAAACTGATTTAAGAAATTTTGATAGAAGAATATTTCTTTTCCATTTCTTGTGCGTCATTTTATATGATTATTTCGTTTTTTTTAAGCTGGAAACAGGCCTTTAATCTCAAACTCAAAGAAATTTTGATTGACATTTTTTGTTTTTAATTCTATACTTTTTATTTCGCTCTGAAGCATATGACTTAAGTACTTTGCAAGTGTCTGAACAATTTTATGACGCATGAATTGAGAGAACAGTTTCAGTTTACCATGGTGGAATTATACAAAGTCTTGGACATTGACAGCGTCCTCATTCTAATCCGCCAACTTGGCTCCTTCAGATAATCTTTTCTTCTTGACAAAGTACATCTTTCCCCTTTTAAATAAGTACTGAACTACCTCATTTAAGAAAATTGATTTGCAACTACTGAACAACTCCTTGACATTTTATTATTTCTGTTCGTTGACAACTGCGAATTAAACAAATAAATGAAGACTTTGTTTATACGTGAAAAATAAAAGGACGCGGAAGGAAATTGGCTGAAGCCGCCAATGTGGACACCAGAGGTTTACGCCGGCAAGCTTTGCGGCGGCGGCGTGGTCAACTTCAAAAATATTCGGCGGCGGCGGCGACGCCGGCGCGTCTGGAAACGCCGGCGCTACTGCTCATAAGGTAGATTTCAAAGAGCCATGAGGCTACTAATCTTATCATTTCAACTCGTCAGCGTTAGGCACTCGCCATGCCAATTATTCTGTTATTATAATTATATATATTTCATTATTGAATTAGTTTTAAATTTAAATATTGCTACTTCCTACTTGAATTAAAATGTTGAGTGTCTGGCGCTGATTGGTGGGCGAACAGAAGGAAGTCTCTATGTTCTCTACAGATCCGTATGTACTATTTAACTTTAAAGAAATAAACAAACTTTAAAAGTTTAGTTATTGGGGTAATTTATGTCGCTCTCAATAAATTTTTGCAATAATCTTATCAACCGTTATGTTAAATTACGGAGTTCTTACGATTTTTTGCGGATTACATATTGAAAACAAGGTTGGTCTACTGTTTTCCAAAAGTTTAACCCATCAACTCGAACCAGAACGGGCCTTTTGACCCACTGTTGAAAAAATGGCTTATAGATGGTTAATATTTCTACTAAAATATGAAGCGCCAAATTTTTCTAAGGAGAACCGAATGTAATAAAAAAAAAATACTAATGTTTAATGCGAGGGAGCAAAACCTTCCTGGGGTTTAACCACCACTAAGGGATGCTAACGTAATTTTCACACAGCCACCTAGTACTTGTACACGTATGTGGGACCCCAGAATATAATAACTTGCGAATGTAAATATTAGCAAAAAATGTGTTTGTTTAAAATATTAAAAAAATACATAGAAAAATCAACTTGTCTTTGTTTTATCTCCAATAATTGAGGAGTTAGATGCAAAGAGGCCGCTTCTATTATAACTGCTTTCTGAGATATTGGCGTTAAAGTTTTTGATGTGTTATAACCAGGGAACGGATTTTTAGGACCTAAAAACCTATAAAAAAGGCAAAATAAAATAACGAAATAGGCTGGAAAAGGCAAAATAAAATAGCGAAAAAGGCAGGAAAAGGCACTAGGTATTGCAAAAAAGGCAAAACAAAATAGCGAAAAAGGCAGGAAAAGGCACTAGGTATTGCAAAAAAAGCAAAATAAGGCACTAAAAAAGACAAAAAATACTAAGAACAATTAAAAAAATACATTTATTTTAGAAATATTTATATTACAAGTAAAAAGAGAAAAACTATGAACTAGTTTCATTATATGAAAAATTTGTACTTTGAATCTTTGACTATTTTATTCTTTCGAGTTTCTAACTCATAAAATTTTAATCTGTATAATTGTAGTAACATTGAACCACAAGATGCATTTTGAAGTTTTCTGGCAGCATTTTCATTAGATTTTCGCGAAGAAAAGCTTTGAATGTACTAAATGTGCGCTCGACGTAAGTTGATACAAGTGGAGCCCAATTTAAATATGGAACGTTTGAAACGTTCATATTATCAGGTATAAGGGCGTTTTCCTCGCCCTTTACAATTTTATCCACACCCCTTATTGTCTCCAAGCCTACGTTAGCTGAGAAAACGGCTTTGAATTTTTCCAACACCAATTTGGCAAGAGGTCCCTGCGCTCCTATAAGCCGCATGGGCAAGTGCATATTTTTTAATCTTAAAAAAAAAAAAAAATTGTAAATGCTATAATCACTTTTTTAAAGGTAGAAAGGCAAAAAAATGCAAATATCTTAAAAAAGGCAAAAAAAAACGGAAAAATATCTTAAAAAAGGTAAAAAAAGGCAACATCAAATGTGTATACATATATGGAATCAGGGAAAGCTAAATCGTGGACGTTCTTAATCGAAAAAAGGCAATTTCCATAAAATCCGTTCCCTGGTTATAACTTTCTTGTTGTTATAGTAGGTGTATAAAAAAGTAGCATTGTTGTAGTATTGAAAAGAATTGTCTACTGCGGAAAAAATCGTTAAATTACCAGTATTCGACCCTAATTTAACTGTAATAAACGCTTTCGTCGAAAAATATGTTACCTATGTTTTTTCTGAGTTACGCTATTTTTGGAAAAATAAAGGACATCATATTCTTATCCAGTGGCCCTAATTATGCAAAAAAAACTAATTTAAAAATGTAATTTTCATTTCGTAAAATTGTGTTTTATACAAGTAGTATTTAGTTCCTTCAAACGATGTATTCAATGTACATACATCATGAAAATTTTGTACAAATTTCCTTAGGCGCCGAACGCCTCCGCCGCCGCGCCGATATTTTCGTAACACGGCGGCGGCGCGTGAGGAATGACAAAAAACGGCGGCGGCGGCGGCGTATACCTCTAGTGGACACCCAACCGGAGGTAACATACAGTTGTGTAGATATGCACAGCCGTGGCTGAACTTCTTCTATTGGTGCGCGCCTTTATGTCAAATACAAGGCAGGAACCGAAGCTTTTTATGGCATAAGTACACGTGGAGGTGCGCCATTTGCTACCCGGTCTTACCAGCATGCACCACTAACCACTCCACTTCGGCAGGCACCAAAAATACTGGAATTTGTGCTCTGATTAATAAGATAAAATGTATTCATTACACATTAAGTCAAAACAATTGGAATTTTTCGCTTTTACATACAACAGGTACAATGAGCTGTGGTGTAGTGGTTAGCTGTGCGCGCTTCTATTCCGAGGGGACTGGGTTCTAGTCAACATAAAAAAAAAGAGTAAAAAAGTATAAGTTCGGGCGAAGACGACCAATAAATACCCGGCACGTATTAAATATAGTTTTTCACTTTTCTGAAACTACCGTTACATAGCAAGCAGGAGCGGTTATACACCTATTTCAAATTTCTTCGATAGTTTGTTCAGTTCGACTTAATGAGATAAACTTATATAAGTGGGCGGTATCTCGCCCATTTTCCAAAATTCCATAATAATTTTACTTCTTTTCAAGGGATTGTTGTGAGTAGCAATTCTGAGTAAATTAGCGTCCTTAAATTCCAGCATTTCTGAAATTTACCGTTATGTGAAAAGTAGGCAGATTTTTAGTCCAATTTCAAAAATTTTCAACGTCTTTCTTTTATGTGACAAGAACGATAATTGTACTGAGGATGGTACTAATTGCTGGAACGGTTACCGATATACACAAATGTGGTCATAAGTGGGCGGAGCCACATCTATTTTCCATAAAATTTTTATAGGCGTATTTTTTGCTAAAAAGTTATTGCAAACATCAATTTTCAATAAATTCGCTTCAGTAGTTACTGATTTATCGAAGATTTCGGAATTCTCTAAAGTACACTTACCAAGTTTCGCTAAGATACATATTTCAATTTTTATCGTTTGCACAGACGGATGTTATGAAGTCCTGCGATGGTATATCAAAAGTGAACGGCTGTACACGCTAGTATTATCATGGTACTCAGCTCGTCGGGTGGGGTTGGGTCTTGCCGCACTTTCTTGAAGATGTCCTGACTACACACAAAATAAAATTCATGCACTTAAAGATTATTACCAGACCACAATAAAATATCCCACATTTAATTTACAGAAATCCCTTAAAATTAGCAGACAGATGCAAACGGAAAGGATGTCCCTTGATCAGCGCTGCCTTCCCTGCTCTTCCCTGCCCAACTATGAAGAGATACTTTATGCATCGCCATCCCAACCATACCTTCAAGTCTAAAGGGCTGACTATAATATGAATAAGCAAGCGTATGCAAACGTGCGACTACCCATAAATCCAATTCTGAAACTATAATGTACTTAACAAAAAGTTTCGTCAAACGTCATTTGCTTAAGGAAAGAGCGATACAGGTCGCACCTTCCGTACGGAATCAG